TACATTGTTTTGCACTGACCTTTGTCTGGAACACAGTAAGCACATTGGCTCTGTGTGCCTGCTGGCTGCTTATTATTCGCCGTATGATTCATAGCCACACTATCTCCTTTCCAATTTGCAGCCTCTCTGAGGACTGGGTTCCTGCTTGTCTTTGTGTTTTCATTATTTGGGGAGATCTCTGGTTAAATTTCCCTTATGGGGTACTTGAACCCCACCTAACTCTCACCAAACAATGGATAACTTTTTTTCCCCTTTCTCCTGGGAAACAAATAGGATTTCTAAGTTGAAGGTATTGCCTAAATAGGTTCTCTGTAAGATCTGGGTGCCGTCCTTTTAGAAGATAATTTATACTTGCTGCAATAAGAGACTATGATTCTGTGAAAAGTTTTTTTTCTTTGCTGTACATGATGCTTGCAGTTTTAATATTACTATGAAATAGAGCACTGATCCAGCCTCAGAGATGTTGTCAAGAGGCCAACAAATATATGAAGAAGTGCTCACAATCATTAGCCATTGTTGTTGTAGATTACTGCTGCTTGCTGTTGGTTTCAACTCATAGTGACCCTGTACAGGGTTCCCAAGGAGCAGCTGGTGGGGTGGAGATGCTGACCTTGTGGTTCACAGTCCAGTGCTTACCTTGTGGTTCAAACCAACCTTGCAGTCCAGCGTATTACTCCGCAGTGCCATACCAGGACATACCTGTACAGGGTTTCCGAGGCTGTAAATCTTTACGGGAGCAGAACGCCTCATCTTTCTCCCGCGGAGCAGCTGGTAGTCTCGAACTGCTGACCTTGTGGTTCGCAGCCCGATTTGTAACCACTATGCTGCCAGAGCTCATTAGAGAGATGAAAATGGGAACGACAATGAGATAGCATCTTGTTGTGGTTAAAGTGCCATCATTTCTGACTCATAGCGGTACGAGATATCATCTTGCCCTAGCATGAATAGCAAAGTTTAAAAAAGCAGTTTAAAAAATGCTGCCAGGGGTATGGAGAATCTTAGGCCCTCCTACATAGCTGGCACTTGTGGTGGTGGTGTGTGTGCCGTGGAGTCGATTCTGACTCATAGCGACTCTGCATAGGGTTTCCAAGGCTGTAAATCTTTATGGGAGCAGAAAGCCTCATTTTCTCCCATGGAACTGCTGGTAGTTTTGAATTGCTCACCATGAGATTAGCAGCCGGATTTGTAACCACTATGCTACCAGAGCTCCTTACATAGCTGGTTGTTGTTATTAAGTACCATAGAGTCGATTCTGACCCATAGAGACCCTGTATAGGGTTTCCAAGGAGCAGCTGGTGAACTTGAACCCCTGACTTTGCAGTTCGAACGGCTTTGCAGTCTGGCGCGTTAGCCCACAGCGCCACACCAGTAGGACTGTGAAAATGGTGTAACCACTCCAAAAAATGGTATGGGGATTTCTCAAAAAGTTGGGTCTAGAAAGACGATATGCTCTTGCAATCTCTCCACTTGGTATATGTACTCAAGAAATAGGACCATGACATGACTAGATATACACACACTGATATTCATCACAGCACTATTTGTAATAGCAAAATAGGGATACAGCCTAAATGCTCATCAACGGAAGAATGGTTAGACAAACTTTGGTGCATACACACAATGAAATACTATGCAATATTGAAGAATAATGATAAATCTGTGGAACACCTCACATGGATGAACCTGGAGGACATTATGTTGCATGAAATTAGTTAATCACAAAAAGACAAATATCGTATGAGACCATCATTATAAAAAGTTAAGAAAAGGTTTTCATGTGAAAAGAAACATTCTATGATGGCTTCTAGGGCTAGGAGGGAAGAGAAACTCTGTCATTGGCTAGAGGTTACACGTAGTAACTTAGGTGCCAGGGAAGGCAGTTCAAGATGGTATATATTGTTGTTAAGTGCCGTAGAGTTGGTTCTGACTCACAGTGACCCTGAACAGAGATTCCAGGGCCGTAAGTCTTTATGGGAACAGAAAGCCTCATCTTTCTCCAGTGGAGCAGCTGGTAGTTTCAAACTACTGACTTTTTGCGGTTCACAGCCCGATTTATAACCACTACACTACCAGAGTGCCTTAAAGATAGTATATAGACATATATAAATAAAAAGTAATTCTCAAAATTCTTGTCAAGTTTTCACATACCCTTTGGATCATTGTTTAAATTTAGCTTGTGGAGTTTTTACTTGTTATTATTTTTTAACTCTGAGGTTGTTAAAGGTAGAGAGTTGTTAGTTTAATTTGAAATGTGTGAAAAATGTATAAAACATGTACTAGGAATAAAGGTGATTTGAAAGTGTCCCCCAAAAAAGATGTTGTCATGCTGTAATTGTCTATTGTTTTGACACTCCTCCCAAACAAACCAACAAACAAAACAGCCAAGCAAACATGCAAGCAAGCCCCTAACAGTCCAGTTGATTTTGACTCATGGATGTCCCATCCCTGTCTTTGAAGCACTCCCTCAGTTGGGCCCACAGAACTTGGCTGTGGGACATGAGTAATCTCTCTGGCTCTGCGCCCCCTAAGATTAAATGGGCCACAGCACTCACATCATCTCTTCACTGCACTGGAGGGGAGTGTGGACTGAAATTGTGGTCCACTAGACTCAAGCAGTGCGGGGGCGCCAGGACAGCGCACCTCCGAGGGGCCATGCCTCATGGTGTTCTAAAGGGTTGTTTGCCTGAAGGTCAGGGTGGTGGTCAAGATGCTGAGCATGGGAACCAGCCAGCCTAGAGTGGAAACTGGGTCAAGTCATTCACAGGTAACTTCTTTCTCATCTCTGAGTCTTGATTCCCCCATCCATAAATAGGAGTTCATGACAGTGCCCACCTCCTAGAATGGTTGTGTGGATTTATTGAGATGATGCCTGAAAACACTTAGCTGAGTGTTTGGCTCAGTTAAGAATGCAATAAATAATATTCCTGGAAACAATGACAATAAGGCAGAGGCTTCAACTAATTAAGGAACATCTTAACTTGAAATTTGCAACTTGGAATGACAGATGGGCAGGACCATGGGACCTGGCAGGTTTGTGCACAAACTCATGATGTCAGACCAAAGTCGGAATGGCAGAGCAGGGCTTGGGACGTATGTCCAGATGAACAGGTAGTTGGGGGCTGCTGTGTTACACCTTTCTGAGCCCCGCCCCTGCTTCCAAAGTCCCCGACTGCCACTAACAGCCTTGTTCTTGGTCTTGCAGCCAGAGCCCAACCCTGGAGACCTGATTGAGATCTTCCGCCCTCTCTACAAACACTGGGCCATCTATGTTGGTGATGGCTATGTGGTCCACTTGGCGCCTCCAAGTAAGGCTCACTGTACTGGAGGGAGATGGGAATGTAGTGGGTAGCACATGACCCTAACATTCTCCCTGCTTACCACCTGGTGTTTGGTTTTGGAGTGTTAAGAAAAATCTACTAGTTTGTGGCAGTGACTTTCAAATTGTCCTCTGGGACCCCAGAGGTTCTATACAGAGGCTGAGGTGGGTGGTAAATCGGGGAGCTCTGCTTTTCCCTGTTTATAGATGGTGACTTTGTATGAAAAAAGTTGAATTCTTGGAAAGGGTCCAGGTGTTTGGGCAAAGAGCCTTGGTTATGAATCCAGTTTCTACCCTTCAGCCTTGGTTTCTTTGGCTATATAAGAAGGCTACAACTACTTGGAGACGTTTTCTTAACATCTCAGAGAACCACTCCAGTCATAATAGCGGGCAACACTTGTTGAACACACACCCCATGCCAGTTACATGAAAGCACGTTACATGGTCAACTCCTTTCATCCTTAGAGCTGCCCTCGTTAATATCCTGCTCATCCTTTGTGGATGGGGCTGGGTCAGCTCAGCCCAGCCCCTGTGGCCCTGCCCAGGACCAA